TGATGCTAAATCTAAGTTGTCTATGTGACCAAAAACAACTGCGTGTTCAGTGTATTTGATTAATCGTTCAGTAGCACTAAAGGGCTTTTGCAGTATTAGTTGTTGTAGGCGTTTGGCTGCTTTATTGTACCTGTAAATAAAACATTTCAACTGAAAAGGTTACTCAGTTACTGAGTGTGTCGTGGCTGGATAGTGTGGTCAGACACTGACAGTTCGGAATTCGCTGTTGGCGTTACAGGTAAAAATTTTTTTTTACAAGTTATTGAAACGAATCTCAAAAATTTGCTCACTATGCAGCTGGAGAATAGTTGAATCTTCTTCTTCTTATTTTTTTTTGCAGAATTTGATAAGAAAGTAATTTGAAATGTGCAATATTTGAATATGTGATCAGTGCCGCAGGGTTGTTTCTATAGAATTTCACGGCTAGTTTTGGTATGGAGGTTTGACTCCCACTTGTGTGTATATTTATTCTTCGTGAAAGTTGAGAGTAATATTTACGGTCGCTAATGAAAGAAGATCAAAAGAATATGAAAAGTCTTCAGTGATGGTAAAACAACTGATCTAATTTGTGAAAAGTAATTATATAGTATTTGTTAGACGCTTTAGATTTTTAATTGCTCATATACTTTTTTGGTATAAATTAACCGTTCACCCCCTGATGGCAAAATTACTGCTAAAAATTGCCCAATTTTCGCGGTTTTCTAATTTTTTTGCAGCTATTAATAATTATCATTTTTTTCTACGGTCCTTCAGCATACAATTCTTAGAAAAATGTGAATCCGCAATACGCTACAAAAGTTTATCATTTGTCCTAAAAGCAAAAATTTTTTGGAATTTAAATGCTAAAGCTTTTAAACGGCACGAAAAAGCCATTCAGCTCTATCACTGCATTTTTAGAGTATTTCAAGGCATTCTATTCTTTATCACTTATGTGAGTGAGAAAGGAAGTCAAAGAAGTGTTATGTTGTGGGACAGTCAGATTGACATTAAATGTGTAGCAAGTTGTAAATACCATTAAGAAACAGTTAATACATACTGAGCAAGCAAATTATAGGTATTCAAACAAATGGAAACAAATCAGTTTTAGAAAAGTTTTAAAAGTATTGCATAGTGATTTCTTCAAACCGTTAGGAACGAGAATCATGAGTAATTTCACTATCTTTGATAGTTCGTAATTTCTTAACTATAAGACTAACCTATCGTTTCTGAGGATCTCTTCTAACGCTTCAGTAAGTGATTCTCCAGTAATATTTCGTTTATCGATAATACGTGCTATACCTCGTTTTTCAACCATTTTTGCATTCCTCATTTGATCCGCAAACATAGGAATAACGATAGCGGGGACACCGGAATGGGCGGTTTCCGTTATGCTGTTCAAACCACCGTGAGTAATAAATGCTTTCAAGTTCTGATGCGCTATAAGAAAGGCAAAGCGTAAGGTAGTTTTTTGAAATAATCAATCTTCTGTATTATAAATTATGACCCGATATGCATGAAATGTGGACAACAATATACTCAGTTTGTTAAACAAAATGAAAATACTGAAAGCACGCGATTTTTAAGCGATGTTTTTATTAAAACTCTGTTGCATTTGTTAAGTTCCGTCAATGAGTTTTTGAAAATTCTTCATTTTACAAGCATTTCTAAATTTAACGCTTTATAAAAAGAGAGTAGAAAACCTTAGCAAAATTCATTTCGCTTATAAGTGTAATAATTTTTTTCTTTTCGATTCTCCCGAAAACCAGTGGTTTTCAACAGTAAAAACTTATTCTGGTACAGCCTATGATTTACTTCCTTCGCCAAAAAGTTAATGTCGCTGTGCAGTAAGGTATTCAAAGAATATATTCTAAATGGAATAAACAATTAAACCTTAGATCAGTGAATGATGATTTACGTTCGTAAGTTAAATCAGATGCAATTTTCTGACAGTAACTGTACACGTGGTAGTGTAAAAAAACTAATATTTGAAAAGTACTTAAAAAGCAGTTAATGCTACCTTCAGTTGCTTTTGTTTTGCAGTTGGAACTTGCTCAGAAACGGAAACAGGAGATTGTTAACTTTAACAGTTTTTGGATACATTTCCACAGAAGGGACAGAAAGAACAAAAAAAGGGGCGAACGAGTGAATAAACACAGCCTCGTTTAACGCTGACAACAAGTAAAAGGCAGTTCAAAAATTAATAAATGACAATGAGAATTAAGAATTTTGCAGAGTAATTTTATGCTTCCTAAACTGTAGCTAAAAAACGTAACGACGGCAAAAAAAGAGGAAAGCTATCCAGACAAATGGCAGAAACAAAAGCAGCTTGGAAAAACTACTTACCGAGAATGCCGCTTTGAGGTGCCCAGCTAACTTTTACCAAATTATTTAAGTCACTGCCGATGGTGTCGTTCTTTTCGTACTTCCATATGAATTTAATCTTAAAGTGTAAGTAGAGAGAGATTTTATATATAAACGTTCTAAATTTTACCTAGTGATTAAATTTTTAAATCAGAATAATTACTCTGCATTGGAGGTTTTAATTTACTAAGAGTGAACCTGAGGAAATTTTCTGAAGAAAGATACAAATGCCTCCTTAGTCTCTGTTGGCATTCCCTCGCTTCTGAGAATAGAACCAAAAGACACATAAACCACACCTTCTGTTGCACTGTCGAGTAACTTTTGATAATCCTGGAAACTTCAGTTCTTAGCTACCCTTCATATAAAATTTATTAATAAGAGTAATAAGAGCAAGAAAGAGAGCAATTGCAGAGATTTTAAGTAAAAGTCTGAAGAGCATTTCGATAGCCTGTCCATATGGTATTCAGAAATGATTAAAAATTCAGCTGATAGCGACAGATGTTTCTTAGTCTGTTGCCATAAAAAACTGATTTCAAAAAAAATTTTCAATTTCAGAGGTGCAACTCAATTTATACTTATTAATAGTATAAACTTCAACTTTATTTTTTATTTCTCTTCTTTTTAATTAGAAAGGAACTGTATTTTTTAATAAGTGTTACAAGACAAAAATGTGAAAGTTAGTAAGAACAAAGTACTAGACTATTTTAAAAGAAACTTTAAAAGAAAAAAGTAACCATTAAACAGTTTCGCAAAGGTTCTATAAGAAGAATCTTAGAACGACACAACTTTGGAGAATAACAGATGCCCAGACTATACTCAGCAAAGTACATTTTTGAGTACCTGAAGAGGACTAGAAGATTGAACGCTTCTGATAAATGCCGTACGGTAGTCTCTGTAGAGGCAACTTTGTACAGCAGCAGATGAGAATCAAAAAAATAAGGTAAGATAAGAAATGGACAAGAAATACTTCGACAACAACTCAAATTCTAGAAGGAAAAATTAAGGACTACAAAGGGCAAAGAAACAGTTCTTTGCTTGTGTGTGTGCGTATACATGTGCTTTTAGACATTTCAGAAAGGTGTCTCTGGTTTTTTCTCAGTAAATCAGAGATGAAAAAATCTAAGCGTGAACATTTAAAGCCGCTCACGCTGTTCATAGATTCTGGCTTTTTGACACCTATTCCGCCAATGTAAACGATCTTATGGGTCACTGGGCGAGGAAAATCCAAATATTCGTCCGAGTTTACCATAGCAAAAGCACTCTTTCGGAATTTCTCCTATAATCGGTTAGTACAGGGTAGTACCACTAACGGCTTTTCACTTATCAATTCTCATTTAAATACAGTTTAACAACACAAAAATTATTTAGTTAAAACTATTTGTATGTACCGTACCTTTATGTCAAAGTCGCTTCGCAGATGTTTTCTGAAAACACCACTGAATGCGAGATCTACGACAATGTGACGAATTATGGCTGACGATATTGAACGCATAAAATTTTGTACGCGTTCCCAGTAACTCATTTCATCCGAGAAAGGGTTATATAAAACTGAAAAAAGCGTTCGTTGAGAGGTAAGTCAGGAAAAGTTTTAAAAGCACTAAAAAAGCAATGTCTCAACAACATGCGAACAAAAGTGGTAAGTTCGAACGAAAACAGTTTCAGGAATACTACTTGAAAATCTATTATTCAAGAACTGATTTATAAATAAAATACCAGAAATTTTATTAAAAAATGTAATTTATTGTTGTGTCAAAATGAACTTTTCATTTAATATAATCAGATAACAGATATCTGATGATACTTACGTGGCACAAAACTTGGATTGCTATCAATGCCCAAAGGAACGGTGACATCTTCGTTAAGACACAACGAATCTGTAGAAATATATTTGTCGACATTTATTTTCTCAAAATAAGCTAAGCCACAAGGATCTATGTGTTCACTGATGCCAAGGTCAAATTTTTCTTTACGAAACTGTTCGATTGTTGCAGTGTCTTCTAAGACTGCTAAAAATTTCAGTCGTCAATAAAGGTGTAGCAGAAAAGAAACAAGATATTAAGAAACTCGTGTAGAAGAGTTCTTTTTATTTAAACGTTCAGATCATTTCTGGCTGTAATGCTGGCTGTTTAAAAAAGGTGGTTTTTGCTAAATTCCAGACTTATTCTGTCGTTTGATAGAAAGAACAGTATTATTAAGCATGAATAATATAAGAAAAAAGTTTTTCCAGATAATACATTTGATTTTCGCTTTTACCAAAGTTATAAAAATGCAAATTGTTAGGTGTAAGCTAGCACGTTTCAAGCCACTAGTTACCTACAGTCACAAAGACGGGGTAGAAATCTGCCCATGAGTCGCATTATCTGAAAAACAAAAAACGCCGGTATATATTTAAGTACGCTCTAGTGCAAACCTAAAAAATCAAAAATAAAAAATAAAAGATTATGATTGTTCATAAAGCTGCTTTAAAAAATTCAACCTTTATTAAAGCAAAGACAGTAGTTTGTCGTTCATCCCACATTCTTGACATAAAACCCAAAAGATCAAAATTGAGCTCAAACGAGAGAGGTTTCGTAATAACTTTGGCCTCTTTTGGATTTGGAGCAGTGACATTAGGCGCAAATTCTAGTGAATAGATAGTCTGCAATGAGAGATTTTGGCGGATTACCGATATACCAGCCCTTTTTCTGTTATTTACTAAATTTTTATAGTAGTATAAAGTTAGACAAAATCGATTTAGAAATGAATCTAATGTAGGACTTTACCACTTCGTGTCCTGTGTGCGCTAAAATGTCAGCGATAGTGCTCATAAAAATTAAATGACTACGTGAAAAATGCGGCGCATAAATTAAGATTTTATAAGAAATGGCGGTATGGATCAGAAGAGGCAACAAGAAAATTGTTAACATTAGATCCTGTAAAGATCACAAAATTTATCAAAAGATTTAATATTTGTATATAGTTGAAATGATGTCAAAAAGCAGCAGTCGTTACCCAAAAACACCACTTCTTGTTCTCAATGTTGGTTTTACAAAGTCACGTCGATACTTTAAATTACTGCAAGATTTATAGGTTAAGCTCTGGAACAAATAGAGTATTGAAAGTTTGAATAAACCTTTTAAATTTTGTAATGTAACGACCGTGTATTTAATTTTAAAATTTTGTGAAATGTATAAAGATATACTTCTTCAGTATTTGCAGTTATATAAAGAAATAAAAATATATATATATATATATATATATATATATAT